ACTTGGTCTGAATTAGGCTCAAGGAATTGCGAAAAGCAATAAATTATGTTGTCCTTGTGCTGCTATCTGAATTAGAATGGCATGACCAGCTTGATGGTGAATATTTGAAGTTAATAAACCTAACTGAAAATAAATGACAATTATTGGATAGTCTTATTCTATTATTAAAACTATTTTATGATGCTACTACTATATTTTCTGGCTCTAATTACTCTACGTTCAACCTTATTTATCCAACAATGAAGCTTCTTATCAAAAAGTTTGCACTTTCTGATAGTCAAACTGAAGATGACTATACCGATTTATTGTTTAGACCTAGAAAGCAAATAAGTGATCAAAAGCCAATTTATTGTGATAATAAAGATTCTTCTAAATTAGATATAAAGTATAAGTATGAAGCACCAAGTATTTTAGAGCAACTTAGAAAACTTTTACATATATCACAGGAACGAAAAAAAAAAAGATCATAGAAAAGCTAAAAAAAATATATCTAAACAGTGTAATGATTCAAGATTTAAAAATCATTATTTAATAGAACCACCTGTTACTAGTGTAGAATTGCATAATCTGGTCAAAGCTGCAAGCTACTTTTCTTTCCAGGAGTATTGAAAAGTTTCTGACGAGATTAAACTTATTGCATCATTTTTAGATCTATGAATAAAAAATCTGAAGTTTATTGATGATGAGAATATAAAGATAACCACAATCAACATAGTGCGAAGGCTTTATTCAGAGGAAGAATATCGCCAACCTTTGATCGAAGAAATTTCAAGAGATAATAGTTTTGTTGAGTCTTCTAGTATTTTAGCTTCTAAACCCACAATAACTAATGATTTAATGGCAGATTTATATAGTAATAAAGAATCAGGTAGTGTAAATGAAGAGAGTGAGATTGATCATTATATTCAAAAGCCTATTCAAAGAAGAAAGTGCAACTCTTTAACATGGTGGCGAGATAATGCAGACAAATATCCCACATTATCAAAACTGGCTTAGAAATATCTATTAGTTCCAGCTACGTCAGTCTCTTCTGAGTGTGTATTTTCTAATGCTGGATTGCATATTACAGCATTGCGTAATAGGCTCCATCCAAATATGGTTAAACAAATAATGAATCGTCTACGAATAATGAATCACTTATAAA